ACCGCCATCAGATCTGTAGATAACCCGATGACGTTGTGAATCTAGAGCTGATTCTGTCCTCACGGCATCCCTTCAGGGCTCACATTGGGCCCGTACAAATGGGCGCCATGGCAGACCATTTTCTTCGATCCAGGCCTAGTCACCAAGCTGACTCGGATATGAACGGCGCTGCGGTCAGCTCATGGCGTAAGAAGACGATAGCATGGCTTGGGCCAAGGTGCATCATACGGATCCTATTGTTCACTGACTAATGCTGTGACGCAGCGATTGGGCCCCTCGAGACGCGGCCATGGGACACTGGCAGTGTAGCCAACGCCCGGTGGCATACTGCCCTAAGCGAGTGCCATCTTGCGGTACGTCGTCAAAGCTGAGTGGCACTCTCCAGATGTTGGGGTGCCAACCTGTTTGTCCTTGCGAGGGACCGCTCGACGTGTCCGTGGGTCGTCCAAGCTTTCTTGGAACCCTCTCGCCTCATGTTGCTAGCATCACAAATCTCAGCAGCTGCGAGTGCAGAATTACAGACAAAACCTCAGTTGAAACGACGACATGCACACTACAATCGGCTCGAACCCGTATATCAAGACTGTGGTTCCGTCGAGTCCGTGCAAGATAATAGATTGCAACGCGTCACTAATCTTCCTATATGCCTGTAATTTACGGATAGAAAGCACAGTCGTCCTTGATGAATCCACATTCGCACCATCGCGCACAACTTCGTACAAAACAAAGGGCCGGGGAAGACATGACGTACTCTCGATGGGGACTTAACTGAAACAGGAGGAGATTATCTAGACACGTGGTGTCTGCCATGCACTTTGGATATATGAGGAGGCTCACAAAGAGCCCCCACGAAGCTATAGAACACCCTCAAAGCGGCCTAGTGTGCATCCGTACTGACGGAGTCAGTGCTCGGCACCGCCTTGACTCAGCCTTCGAAGGCATACGGACAACCGGCGTTGACCGTGGTGACGTGCTGGTTAGAGGGTTGTGAGATAATTCAGAGCTGCTGTTCTGGATGCCAAGCATCTGAATGTTGGTTCTGCACGCGAAGAGGACTTCGGTCAAGCTCGACGAGATTGCCACGATAGTCAACCAGATGTTGCAGGGTGAGGCGCTGTACGGTGGTTAGGCTCGCCCGGGCCCCGCCACATAGCGTACTCGGAACGGATGTGGCGAGAAGTCTGCCCTGAGAACAGGGCGACGTTGTGCATGTCTGCGCAAAGGGTGTACGCTTGAGCCCGTCGGTTATGACACCACGTCTTCTGTCAAGCACAGTGGACCGCAAATCATGTGAGACTGACTCGGAATCCTCCACAATGAAGCACAAGGGGCGCGGAATTCTGCCTTGTCAATATCATCTGGGTCTAGCGTAGGAGGACCGCCGCCGCCGCCGCACGGGAGAGCGATGCACGAGGTCACCAGTTTATCACGATCGAAACGTCGCCATTCCCGATAAATGCTACGGGGAAAGAGTAGGCAGTCACCTACACCGCGGCCGGCCGTCCGAATCAGCCTTTCTTCACTCACAAACAACACACCCGCAACAGACTCCACAAATTGCAGCTTAATCTCCGAGGGAGTTCAGCGACGTGCTCAGCTCAAGTAGTCGTCACCTGCTTAACAGTCCGATTCCACAGATTGTCTTCATCCGGGACGACATCCAAGTAAGCGTCTATGGTACACATACAAACTTGGTCTGCAGTCCATCCGTCGTCGGCGTCGACACTACAAACGGGTGAATTTCAAGGAGTAAGCCACGCACCTTGATATCCGCCTCTGCCGTTGGGCCTCAGGCCAGCGCCCGACGCGTCCAGGTCGCGCACTAATGCAGGCCTGATGTCCACCTATCATGGTCGAAACGCCCGTGC